GGGAAGGGTCCGGGAAGGGTCTGGGAAGGGTCAGGGAAGGGTCTGGGAAGGGTCTGGGAAGAGTCCGGGAAGGGTCTGGGGTTTGGAAAGGGTCTGGGAAGAGTCCGGGAAGGGTCCAGGAAGGGTCTGGGAAGGGCAGTGAGGAGGATCAGGAAGAAAACGGGTTCCTACTGTGTTTCTGTAACCAGTGATTTCTCTTTTCATAAAATATTGAGCAGGTATTCCTTTTCTAGATATTTTAAGCTAAACATCCATAAGAAGTAGGAGACAGACATTTAATTTCCATCTAGAAAGACCCCATTGGGTTCGCACAATTACACCCCTACATCTCCAGGTTTGCACAACACCCTGTGCTTTCACTCATTCTTCGTGAGTTCTTGACTTTTGCTTCTATTCCTTGAATTGATCTGAGGGGTCGATTTAGGTTTTCTTACTCACCAAGACGTAATAGTGTCTGAATAGTTTCAGCTTTGCTAAATTAATAGCGGCTAGGGGGGAGAAGAGAACAAAATGAAAGGCTCATTAACTTCTTTTCATATTTAAAAGCAAGTCACATTCAGGCACCCTCCCAGCTAATCTATAAAACACTGGCTACTTGCCTAGAGGATGTCTATATTTCTGGAAATGCAATCTGCCCCAATCACCAGGAAGTAGCAGAGTTCTGGGAGCAGCAGGCAAAGGTTCCAACACCAGGGGTGCCCGAGAGTGGGCTCACGCCAGCAAATTGGCCCACCTACCAACTCTGTTCAACAGCTTGAAATCGACTATGGGGTCGTATATTGGCATCTCAGAAATCCCCCAATACTGCAGCTCAGTACTCCCGACCGCCCCCTCCTCCTGCCCCACCCCCAGAGCCCGTGTCAGACACTTGGTGGCACACCACTGCAGCTGACAGAGAGGCACTCTCCAGAGGCCGGGTCTCAGTTGTTGCAGTGCACTTTCTGGGGAACGCGAGGGTGTTGACTCCAGTGGACCCACCTATGGACTGTGCCCGTTTCACCAAGTGTCCTGTGCAAATCCCTTTAAATACAGCCTTCCTGGCTATGGCCTACCTCCTCCATCACACAAGGTCAGCTGAGGCAGGACAGCCAACTTCCTGACACTGCCTGTGCCTATGAAATATTGATGACCACAGAGGGAAGCCTGGCTCCCTCCCCGATTAGCAAGCCTTTCATTCATCATAAACCTTCCTGCAGGAGGCAAGTTAATTTTCCTTAATAGCATTCAATTACTGATTCAGTTTAAGAATGGGACTGTGGGTGGTGAAGGTACGAATTTCCTCTTCCTCCCTCCTCGGGCTCAGGATGATTTAATTAGTGGGGGGCAATCAAGCTTCCAAAAGAAATCCCTGGAATCCTAACTTATCCTCCAGGTGATCATCCACCAGCAGTATCTGCAAGAACCCCCTCTGAGAAACCAATTGCACCCAGGAGAAGAGTTTCAGAAAAGCTTCCAGGGGATTTCCAAGACCCCGAACTCAGGCTGTACCACCCAAGGGAGTGGTGCGCGCGCGCACACGTGTGTGTGTGTGTGTGTGTGTGTGTGTGTGTGTGTGTGTGTGTGTGTGTGTGTACACAGCAGGTGGAGAAAGCTAAATTGAAGAATAGCTGGTCAGCAAAGGCGTCCTTGTCCATATTTTCATCCAATCAGTATGGAGTTACTGACCCCCTAACTCTTATGCCAGGCCCTGGGATCCAGCCTCAAAACAGGCAGACCCGCCTCTGGCCACTGATGGATGCAGCCCTGGGGGAGGGGGAAGGCACCCTGCTAGTTAGGGGGCACAGAATACTGAGTGTTAAGAGGAGGTCACTGGGTACTCTTTACACAAGGAGGTTTTGAAACTGAAAATTAGTTTATAAATAAAAATTGAGATGCATTTCACAGCATCCATATGAACAAGTATTCCACATGGCACAGCAGACTGCGCCCCTCTCCTGCACATGCATATAAGAGGAGTGCAGAGTCAGCCAGCACATACTGAACTCTACCTCCCCACAGGCCCCCAGGCGGGAACTCAGGCCCTGCTGTATATGCTGAATGCTTTTTTTTTTTAATTAATAAATCATTTTATTGGGGGCTTTTACACCTTTTATAACAGTCCATACATCAATTGTATCAAATACATGTGTACATATCTTGCCATAATCATTTTTAAAATATTTTCTTTCTGCTTGAGCCCTTGGTATCAGCTCCTCTTTTTCCCCCTCCCTCCCTCCCTCTCATGGACCCGATACATTATAAATTACTATTATTTTCATATCTTACACCGTCCGCTGTTTCCCTTTCCCTTTGCCCATGTTTCTGCTGTTCATCCCCCCCCCCCCCCCCCCCCCCCCCCCCCCCCCCCCCCCCCCCCCGCCCCCCGGGGGGCGGGTTATACGTTGATCATTGTAGTCAGTTCCCACGCTGAACACTTCTTGAACATGCACACTCAAGTCTGAGAAACAACAGCACCAACAACTGGAGCACTTAAATAAGACAATGCTTTTTAGAGCCTCTTCTGAATTTTGTTTGCTGAAATGAACCCTGACAAATGAGATCTCTGCCTTGCTCATCAAGAACATCAACAAAGAAAAAGTGTCAGGGATTTATTCTAGGACTTCAAGGATTCTACCACAGGGAGAACCATGGCTGCCAGATCCTCAAGCCTGAACTCCAATGCCCATCGAGGGGGCAGAGGTAGAAAGGGAGGATTCCCCAAAGGAAAGGGCGTCAATGCAGAGACCTGGATGGAGTTCAAGTGAGGAGAATGTCGAGACTTGCAGGCACAAAGGCTTAGACACGGGACAGCATCACAGATCACAGGGAAGGAAAAGGAGCCTAGCCTGACTGGACCGTGGAAAGGCTAGGCAGTGGGATGGGTTCAGAGTGAAGCCAAACAGTTTACGTGAGATGCAGGTAACCAGAAGCTTATCTACCATGCTAGGAAAGTGGACTGGATCTGGAGTGCCCTAGGAGCCTCCACCGGGATTTAAGTAGGAGGATATATGTTAGAACCATACAGAAAAGGGTTGGAGAGAAAGAGCAGAGGCCAATAGACATCAAAGACCTTGAATGTGTAGAGGGCCCTGCTATGGGTTGAACTGATACGCTGACATCCTAACCACAGTACTTTGAACATGATCCTATTGGGAAGTGGGGTCTTTACAGACGTTAGGATGGGGTTGTGTTGGATTCAGCAGGGCCCTAAATCCAATGACTAGTGTCCTTCTAAGGTGTCTGAGCATTGGAGAGACACAGACGGAAGGCTGTCTTGTGAAGGTGGAGGCGGCAGCAGAAGTGCTGCAGCATGGAGGAATGCCATGGGTTGCCAGCAACTAGCAGAAGCTGGAAGACGAAGACCCCTCTGGGCCTTCAGCAGGAACAGTGCTCTGACAACTTGACTCCAGACACCCTGGTGGCGTAGTGGGTTATGTGTTGTGCTGCTAATCATAAGGTAGCAGTTCAAATCCACCAACTGTTCTGAGGGCAAAAGATGAGAGCTTTCTGCTCTTGTTAAGAGTCACAGTCTCAGACATCGGACCTCTACTCAAGTACTCCCTCAATGAAAGAATACTTTGTTCTAATAACCCGGCATTCTGTGATGCTCACCTTCCCTGACACGA